CCTGGACACTGGGATCCTTCACCCCTAAATCAGAACGAAGACATTCACCTACTCAAACATCACATTTATAACAGAACGATAGTCTACAGTTCATATATAATCTAGATGACAGTTTCCTAAATTGTCCCAGTATATCCCTTATGGCTATTTTTCCTGTCTCTCTAGTCTGCTTTTCTCTAGAAGTGCTTCTCAGCATTATACAGTGGAGGAGGGCAGGATGTCTCTCTTGACACTGAGATTTCTGAAGCATGCAGGCTGGGCCGCTTTTCGAAGGACACCTCTCAACTTGGGTTTGTCCGATTGTTTCCTCAAGATGAGATTCACGTTAAGTACTTTCCACAGGAAAACAACAGAGTGGACACTGTCCACCTCAGCACATCACAACAAGGGACACAAGTCAGTCTGTCCATCCTTAGTGTAGCAGGGCGAGCCACAGACAAAACTCCTCAGACACCGAGTTAAAGGAGGAAGGGCTGTATTTGGCCGGGAGCATCGGCAAGACTCACGTCTCAAGAGCCGAGCTCCAAGTGAGCAGTTCCTGTCCCTCTTAAGGGCTCACAACTCTAAGGGGGTCCGCGTGAGAGGGTCGTGATCGACTGAGCAAGCAGGGGGTACATGACTGGAGGCTGCGTGTATCGGTAATTAGAACAGAACAGAACAGAACAGGACAGGGATTTTCCCAGTGCTTTTCTAAACAATGTCTGTAATCTGTAGATAACATAACCGATTAGGTCAGGGGTCGATCTTTAACTACTAGGCCCAGGGTGTGACGCCACGCTGTCTGCCTGTGGATTTCATTTCTGCCTTTTTTAGTTTTTACTTCTTTCTTTGAAGGCAGAAACTGGGCATAAGACAATATCAGGGGTGGTCTCCTCCCTTATTCCTCCCCTTTGAGAACTTCACTCAATAGTGGGAGTTCTCACTTTCGTTCTCACTACCCATGTCTTCTTGCAAGACAGATCGATAGTGATTCATATAGTACACTTGTGCTGAAGCATTCTGGTGAACTAAGATAGTGATGAAGCTTTTTATCATTTGAAGAAGTACAGGTAGCAAACAAGGGAGCAGTAAGCAGGTTCCTATTACTATTACGACTCCTATTGTAAGAGTTTTAAATCCTCCTAGCACTGGCAACCATTTTCTAAACACAGCCCCAGGATCAAATCCATGCCACACTTGCACGGGCACATGTGCCAGTTTTGTCATATCTCTAACTATGTCTTCAACTACTTGCCCTTGATCAACTATGCGTAGACCAGCAATCAGTAAGGTTAAATTTCCTACAGACCCCTCCTTTAGCTGCTAGCAAGTAGTCGAGAACCAATCTATTTGGAGAGATAGCATTTCTCATCTGAGTTTCTTGCCGGGCCAGAATAGTCAAGGCTCTGCCAGTCTTATTAGTGATTATATCTAAGACAGCTTCTAACCATACGATTCAGCTGACCATGTAAATGGGGGTCTGGTATCCCCACGAACCATCTTGTGCCCAAGTACCAGGCCCATAATATTGTGTGATTCTCTCAGGGGGCCATTCATCATCTTTCCAATCTCCTATAGCTATGCTTCTCTTCACAGGAAGCACAGACAGGGAAGACCAGGAGTTCGCCTGTCTTTATGGGCAGTAGGAAGAAAGCTGGTTTAACAGTGCCAATACCACAACTACCTGCCCACTGGTCGGTAATTTGGTGTAAGCTCTATGCCCACACACCCAGTATAAGGCAGTGGGGGCTGTCCAGTCCCGGTGGGACTCCGGGTGGGTCCACACGGTTTGCAACTTTGGGCATTTACTAAACGGATTTTTCTTAGTGTGGTTTGAACTCCACCAGGGGGCTGTTTTTGTAGCACTATCACACAGTTTTTGCCTAAGGCAGCTGAGTCTTCCCACAGGAAGAGTGAAGTCCTTCCCCACTCTTGCTATACAGTATTGTCTAATGATTGAGGCTGGTAGGACCCAGAAGTTATCAGGCTGTTTCTTTTGAGCTGAGAATTCATGAGGAACTGGGTCTGTAGGTACTAATTCTTGGGCTTCCCATGGCCACTGATCTCCCATTACACTTCCTCCACATACATAACATGAAGTGACAGTAAGAGACTGGACTACATGCTCAGTTAATTGCAAAAACAAATTTCTTGCTTTTCCTGGAATTTCTGGTACTGGCACATTCAGTTCATCATAGAAGGTTTGAAATACTGGCTCAGGAGAGCGTTTGTGTAAACTTCTCCTCAAACCATGAGGATCCAGTCCAGCCCCATCCATTCCTAGGGTTACACGCTCCCCTTTTTTCCAGCGAGGATCAAGGGGGTTGGTTATTACTAGTTCTAAGGGGTTAC